ACATACATACATACATACATACATACATACATACATACATACATACATACATACATACATACATACATACATACATACATACATACATACATACATAAATGTACACACACGTATTCATATACACATATTCAGAGTGAAATTCACTTATACATTTACATATATAAGTAGATAAATATTTAAGTGAATAATATGTTTGTGTGTGTGTGTGCGCGTGGTGTGTGTACGTGGTGTGTGTGTGTTTGCATGTCTATGTATGTTTTTATGTGTAACTGTATGAAAATAAAAAACCTATATAAAGATCCAATTGAATGAAAGTAACAAATTTTTCTAAAACGGTGAAATGAATTGTATTTATATAACATTGAAAACTTACAGACATAAGAACAAAAAAATTAGTAAAAACATTAAATTTCATAAATTCTAAAAATTAAAATGTACAGTCGAACGTACAATCTAAACAAAATCGATCATTTAATACCTTTAATAGTGAAGAAGTATTTTTTCAATTTATTTTTCCATATAACATTAAGACAGACAACTTTTCTTCATCTTAAACTTTCACAAACGAATGTGTGGACAACTATCTATGTGTGTATCACTTTTTCACATCGAAATTCAGTAGCAGACTTCATCAGTTAAGATTCCATCATCATTATACTTTTTCTCTGTAATATATCGTTATAATCAGTTTTTAAACATCATTTTAACAGCAATTTAGACCAGTGTGGTCTAGTAGAAATTTATATCAAATGCAACTTCTAAATCAAATTTAATCTAAATTCACTTCAACCAATTATATCAGCCCGACTTCAATCGGTTTGTTATTTTGTAATGGGTACGGCCTCCGAACTGTAACATCCCGCTCAACTTCGGTCGGCTTGTAATTACCTTTGAAACTTTGTTCCCTCTGGTAGAAATAAGAAACAGCAAAGAAGGCCAAAAAAAAAAAGGGGAAAGCCAACAGAAAGACCAACTATTAAGCCGACATTCGGGCCCTGGGCCCGTTACCCTGATGAATTTGAGTGGGTGTTCAAAAAAGTGTCAGAATTAATTCAATATTTAATAAGTTTAAAAAGTAAAAAAAAGTTTAATATTAATGAATAAACAGAAAAGGGTGATGATGCACGCACACGCACCTGCCAATGGTACATTGTTGGAGCAAGCATAACGACCATCAGCTGATGACTGGCATATACCTTGGGGAAGATGGAACGTTTGTGAGATGTTACAAAACAATTTAAAATTTCAAGTTATTATGTTGGAGAAATATTTTGTGATTGAAATCTTAAACAGCATGCATATGCTCAAATGGAAAACTAAAATCCCTCAGACCAGCACGTACGCGTTAACAAAGTTTTCAAAGAGTGCACACAATGCAGAAACAAAACCAAGTATGCAACAGAATACAACACATATTCAACAGAAACGTATTGAAACATGAACAACAAACAAAAACGTACTTCCAGCCGGGCATGGAGCAGAAGCACACGGATCAGTTTCATTGCACCTCACTCCAAACTTACCAGCAGATGAACAGCTACATTTCAACTGACCAGCTTCAACGTAACACTTGCCACCATTCAAACAATATGTACAATTCCCACAATTCATTCCTTCCAAGTACTGTCCGCACGTGCAGTTATACGATAAATTTTTTGCCACGGGATCGTACAATCCCGAACAAATGGAATTAAACTGGCAAGGGTTACTAGCACAGACGGATTGCACACTCAACTGACACGTCTCTCCGACGAATCCAACCGTACAAAAGCAGGTGCGTCCAGTTGGGTCGACCTTTCTATCCACACCTTTGCACTGGCCCCCATTCAAACATGGATTCGATGAGCATGGATCCACAACAACATTACAGCTTACACCTGAGAATCCGGGCGAACAAACGCAGTAGGATGACAAGGAGGATGCATTTATGTAGCAAGATCCCTGGTTGGAACAAATGTTGGAAGTTGAAGGACACGGAGTTGCAAAGGTTTCACACCTGCTGTTGCCACTGTTGATTGTACATGGGCAAGTGTACGATGGATCAATTAGTGAGCAGTTCCTAGTGGCGAGGCATGGTGTGCTGGAGCAGGAGTTGAAGAAGTCGCAATGGCGTCCGTATCTGTCGGCCGGACACGAGCATCTGAGCGGTTCATTCATTCGTCGTTTTAATTGTTACCGGTTTGTGTTGTGAAGTAAATAGAGTTTTGTTAAAGTTTTGTTATTTCTTAATCATTTATTTCAACTTTATATTTAACATTCCTTAATATATTGTTCACAGCAAAAAACAAACAAAATCATAAATTCTAAACAAAAGATTGTCAGGCGCGATTGAAACAAATTTGAACTAGCAAGTTACACATAACTAGCCTATAATTAGTCTTCCCATCTTGGGACTCCAGATCACATATCCCACCATTGAGACAAAAATTTTGACTGCACGGACTGACAGACATGCACGTGTCTCCCTCGAACGGGGAGAGACATTTGCATTGTGCTCTCCCGTTGTTGTCCGTGCACGTCCCACCATTCTGACAGGGATTGTTCATGCACGGAGAAGCAATCTCACATCTCAATCCAGAATAATACTGCATGCATTGGCATGAGAACAAACTTGGCGAAACTTCCGTACAAAGACCGTTATTCAAACATGGATAAGAACTGCAGGCGTTTACAATTTCACAATTCACTCCAGATCTCCCTGGCACGCATTCACATTGATAGGAACCGATCTGATCGATGCAGCTTGATCCCACATAACACGGATTGCTGGCGCATTCCTGAATATTCACTTCACACATTGAGCCAGTCCAGCCTATCAAACAGTTACATGCATAACTCCCATTCTGTAACACTTGACATGAACCAAAATTTTGGCAGGGACTTGAATTGCACGAGACAGCAACCAACTCGCAATAATTTCCAGCATAACCGAAAGGACACTGGCAAGTATAACCACTTTTGTCGGCCTTTTCAATGCAGCTGGCCTGGTTTGTGCACATATGGCTGGAACAATTGGTTGAGAGGGTGTTACAATTAGTACCTATCCAGCCATTCTTGCAGGTGCACGTGAACGAATCCCACTCGTCGTTGCATATGCTGGTGTTACCGCACGGGTTGGATGAACAGACATCATCGCTCACACACCCCACACGGACTGATCCTTGATTTGTTATCTTCAAGAGACCTTCAGAGATTTTTGTAGCATCCGGCTGCAGTGGAATGGAGTACGAGTCGCCACTGAACTGGACACTCCTCAGGCATCCTTTGTATGACGGGCTGCTGCTGCTGTCTGGTGGGGCGTGTACGTGTGACGTTAATGATGGTGAAAATTAAAATCTTTATGGAATTATATTTTGTTGGCTTTGTTGAAATTTCAAAAATAAAATTAAAATCGTGTTTCATAAAATAAATATTTTGATAAATTCAATATTAGATTTGATAGCTTTAATATCATAGCAGAAGAAAATTAACAAATTAAGTTTATTTTTTAAAAAATAGAAAAATTTGTATCTAATGATTACAAATTAAGAAAATAACTAAGTAACTTTTTGTCGGATCTGTAGCCAGAGTGATGGCGATGTTGTTGCTTCTTGAAGCCGATGTCAGCATCATGTTCATTGTGACGCTTTGTGGCTGTGGTGGTAGTTGTGGCAGTTGGCTGTTAGTGACTGTGATGTTGGCCCAGGTGTCAAAGATTTTGAGGTCAACACTCATCCAAACACCGGTGTTCAATTTGAAGTTCAGTGGAATGGTCTGCTCTGAATGGTACATTGGTCGAAATTTTACATATCATGTTTGTAAATATTATAAAATGTGATTACAGTTAAAGGTAGCAAATACAAAAAATAGAAAAAAATAGTCAAGATCTTTGAGAAAATATAATTGAACTCTGACCTGTCCCAATGTCATTCTTCATCCTTAGAAACATGATTCCATTGTTCATGCCAACGCAGAATTGTGACGACGGTGACTGTGTAAGTGAGTAGAACTGGATGAACATGATGCACACGGCGTCCGTTTGGCGCGTTCGCATCTCGAATTTTATTTCATCGCCGAATGAAAATTGAGATGCATCTATGAGGATGTTCGTTGAGGCCGTCGTCCCGTCGTACGTCACTTCTGCCGCTGCAAAATGTTATCAAATAAAAATGTTTCTTTTTTTTGTTGTTGGGCAGTTTTTGTTTCAAGTTTTGTACGTTTTGAATTTTTTAGTTTGCATTCAAATTATCATCTTGAAACAACCGTTTAATTTAATTTGGTTCAACTATAATTTTTAAACGGTTAACTTTAATTTTAATAAATATTTTAATGTAATAAAAAACTAATAACTGAATTTTAAAAATTATGTATATGAAAAAATTTAATGCGGAGAAATGGCCTGACCCTGCGAGCAGTTGAACCCAGTATAACTGGAATAACAAAGACAGGTGCGTCCCCGCCAATCCGACATGCAAGATCCTCCATTCAAACACGTGTTTGCCGCATTGCAAAACTCTTCTCTCGGACATCGCTGCGTCATATTCTTCAGGTTGACATCCTCAATGGCGATCTGCGACTTGGAGAGGTCGACATCGTAGAAGTTCATTGAGAGGTTCCTGATGCAACCTATCATGCTGCTTCAATGATACAACATTTTTTTTGCATCAGATCGTACTACATAATACTAAAGCATTGAAAATGGAAAAGAAATGTATGAAACTGAAAAACCATTAGAAGCCATGACTGAATTTAGCATCGCCAACTTTAACGGCAGGAGAAATCTGAAGACATGTGATAAAAACAAAAACAAACCAAACCTAGCGGGGATGAACGGAAGCTTGTTCCTCCAAGCATCAGTGCTATTGTTCTGCGACAGTGAGCCAATGATGATGCTGTCACCTCGAGTGATAGCTGGTTCAGTGTCTGCAGTCTGGAGTTGCTCCGTGTGTAGCAGCACACTACTCGCTGAGTCGTAGACTGTTTGGTGGTTGTTAGTGGTTAGTTTTATTTGTAACTTGGGTGGATTTTGGTGGTTGTTAGTGGTTAGTCTTATTTGTAACTTGGGTGGATTCAGTTTGATAAAAAAAATTTTTAATGGCTAATTAATTCACTTTTAATTATAAAAAAAATTACAGCGAAACCGCCAAAAACCGGCGTAAAATTTTAATAACGTTCTTAAAACAATAGGAACAGCAACAACAAAACCATTAAACGCAAAATAAAAACAACAAAAAAACAACAAACTACAACAAACCACAACGAGCCAAAACAAACTAAGACAGACCACGACAAACTACAACGAACCACAACAAACTACAACGAACAACGACAAACTACAACAAACCACTGAATCCTAGAGTTTTTCCACTAATGAAGATATTAACTTTATACCATCTGCCATCACTCATGTTGACGTTACTGGCTGTCGATGTTAGGTCTCTAGCAGGCATCCACAACAGCAGCTTCAGCTTCCAGTCTTGTAGGTAGAGTGCTATTGGAGTTGCCATCAACTATTTATGAGTAATTTGATAATTTTTAATTTGATACTCAACATTACATTTGATTAATAGCGAAATAATTTGTCTGTTATATTATAAGGAAGCATTTATTAATCCTTATTAAATGATTTATTGATTACTTTCATCAAATTTATCATGACTTGTCTATAGACACTGCTTGAATATATACATATAAACGAACAAAATCAATTTTGTCAATATCATATACCAATCGCTATCTCATAAGATGGACTTTTTAAAAAAATAATATCTAAATGGGATCAAAGAAAAATTCAATAAACATCACCAAATGAATAAATGGTATAAAATACATTTTGCTGAAAAAACGAATGAAAGCATTTTCAAATAGACACTACCGTATATAGGATAAACCCAGAGCTCGTATTTGAGGTGACAAGAAACGTGATGCTACCAATACTGCTACTGGTATCATTTGGATTGTATGGATATCTGAAAGTGGCGGGACCAGGCAAGTGTATGGTTGATTGTCTCTCACAGTTCGTTCCCACGTGCGAAGGACTACACGCGCATGAGTACGTGTTCCATTGGTCGATACATTTTGCTGGAGTGTATGTGTGTGTGTGTGTGTGTTTGCTTGCTTGCTTGTGTGCTTATTTGTGTGTGTTTGTTTGTGTGTGTGTGTGTATGTGTTTATGTGTGTGGTGTGTATTTATGTGATATATGTTGCTATATTTTTGACTAATTTTCAAATGGGTATGTTTTGGGAAATCCTGCTTTTCATAAATTTTCAATGACCTTAACAATTTAATCGAAAAGTAGCGTTTGATTGTCATAAACACATTAAATTATGAATCAATGAACAAGAAATTAGAAACAAATTAAATAAATAGCTCGATATATCGAATGTTACTATCAGTAATTAGATGTATACTGTAATCATCCATTAAGATATACTATCATCATTCATTAATTAGATACATATACTATCGTCAACCATTAATTAAATATACTACCATCACCAATTAATTAGATATACTATCATCAACCACTAATTAGATATACAATCATCATCCAATACGTGTACCTCCGTTGAGGCAGGGATTAGGCTGGCAGACGTCGGAAACCGAACAGCCAGGAATGGGTTTCTCCGTTGCATTCCCAGCCAACAACATCATCGGTGCCATCACAATTGGCTGTGCTAATGTTAAAATGCTGATCGGTAAGTTGTTCGCTGTCAATGCCTTTTGGAAGTTTATTTGGTTACAAAGTTTGAAGTATGCAGAAAAAATATTGAGGCGTTGCTATAGAGAGTAAATTTTTAAATTTTTAAAGTTTTAACAAATGCAAATCCAAACAAAATATTTTATAATGATAAAATGTAAAAACGAAAAACTACCCCTAAGCACCCGATGAAATTATTCCTCGATTTGGCCTTACTCCTCATAAAAGGCGTCCACTGAGGCACCCCTCCCACAAACAACGGACCGCCCAACATCAAGCTAGAGCTGGCCGTTGTTTTACTGGAAAAACACAAAACCTCCAAACATGGTGTTAAGTTGACTTGAAAGGTGCCAAACTGAACCGCTACATCGATTTCAATTTGTTGTCGTGAAGTTAGGGAGAATGTAAGTGGTATGGAGTGTTTGATGGTTTCTGTTGGAAAGCCTGCTGACACTAGTAACTGGTTCTTGTAGAATTCAATCAGTAAAAATTCCTGTCTGTCATTCAGCGAAGACTGTTTTGTGGGGAGGAATGTTAGTTCAAGTGAGCAATAAAACATAAATTTACTAAGAAAATAAAAAATATAATGTTCAAAAAAATTTTTTCCAACCCCAAGTGCGAACAAAATAATTCCATCGCCGATTGTAGTGACGAATGTGATGCTGAGACTTGTGATGTTGCCAGCAGATGGTTGCTGCTGCGGTAGTGGCTGCACTTGTCTTTTCTTGCGTGTCGGTGACTTGTAGGTGAGTGCTGCTGCTAACTTGTCTTGAGGAATCTGTACGTAACTGTTTCCTCCAAATGTCGCCATCAATATTATTTCGCATCTGCGCCAGGGTTTGATTGGTTGCTGGTGAGTTAAACTACTATTCTATCATAATTTAATGAATTTCGTGAAATACTTTTTGAACGTAATAGCCAAGATGAAAATTTAAGCATTTTTATAAAACTCTGCTTAAAGCAAAATATGCACGCCATGAGAAAGTTGATGAAATTTTCATACTTGGCTCCCGAAGTTCCAGTGGGACAATTGCAGATGTAAGTAGTGACGGATGTTGGCGAGCATACGCCTTTGTTCTGGCAGGGGCTGGGATTGCATGGGTTAGGGCAGAATAGAGTTCCTTCCGAAAAAATGTTTAAAATTTATAAATTGGTACAACTCCATAATACGCTTTTATCACAAATTAAAATTTCATTTAGCATCATACCGATTCACCGTTCAAATTGTTTGTTAACTTATGGTGTAGGCGTACAACAATGTCATCAAAAAAAACGCAAAATTGTTGAACTTCATCATAATTCAACATCATAATTCAACATCATAATTCAACATCATAATTCAACATCATAATTCAACATCACAATTCAACATCATAACTCAACATCCTAATTTAACATCATAATTCCATCACAATCAGCAGCATTCATCATCATCACACTGACCTAATGGACAACACGCGTACGCGCCATTGTCCAGATTAACGCATAGCTGGCCGGGACAGGGATTGTACATGCAGGCTCCGGTCGGTGGGGTACTACAGGTCTTGCCAGACCACCCGTTCAAACATTTGCACTCAAAAGAACCGGGAGTATCCGTGCATTCAAAGTTGTTATTGCAAGGATTGTTTGGCAGGCATTCATTGATGTTTGCTTCACATCTCAATCCGCTCCATCCAGTTGGACACGTGCAGCTGTATGCTGTGTTGTTGTGGTGCATGTGCTGTGGTGTTGTTGTTTCCAAGTTGGCATGTGGTAATGGTTATGTTATAGGTTGTAAACCAAATAAAATACGAGAAGCATGTATTAACCCGTGCAAATTTTTGGCCTATAATCTCTTTGTAATCAAAATAAGTTACTCTGATACTTTTAACCCCTACGCCACTTGCCAGTTTATTTGACAAAATAAAAAAAAAATTATAAGTTTAACATTTCTGAAACGTTAATGTGCAAATCCCTAACCGATGTTATTGATAGGGAAGCAGGTTCCACCGTTGGTGCACGGGAAACTGAGACAGGAGAGCACGGGCAGTGGGGTGGTCCTGGGGGCAGTGTTGTTGGAGTAGGGCACGTTGCAGAGGTTGCCGGAGTAGTTGGGGGTGCAGGTGCACGAGTAGCCGTTTGTCCCGTTTGTCCATTCGACGCATGTAGCCCCGTTCTGACAGGGGTTGGAGAGGCAGGCATACACGTCACCCTGACAACGTTCACCTGGTCGGTCAGTCAGGTAAGTAAGCGAGTCATATTGAAAATTTGTTTTGCTTACGTGTGTGTGTGTGTGTGTTGTTATGGCTATGATGTACGCAATCGTATGAACAACTCAAAATTTAATTAATTTTCTCAAGTTTGATGTTGTAACAGTGAAATGTCATTATAATATATTTAAAAAAAATACAAATTAGGGTAACTTAGTTTTTATTCGCTAAGATAACAAACCGATAAACCCAGCGTTGCAAATGCATCTGTATCTACTCGGAGTAGCGTTGGAATCTCTGATACACGTGCCGTAGTGGAGACACGGATTGGGAAGGCAGGCATCCGTACTGAGCTCACACGTGGTCCCACTGAATGGGAACGAACACTGACATTGGAAAGATCCGGACTGTTGCATGGAGCATGTTCCTCCGTTCTTGCACGGCTGACTGTAACATTTGTCGATCCTTTCGTTGCACTGAAAGCCGGTGAAACCAGCTGGACACTGGCAACTGTTGAAAGTTTCGTCATTTACTCTCGTAAGAATAAAAAAGTTAAAAATTAGCAGTTGCTCTGAAAATTTTGAATTAAAATTAAACACTCAAACTCATAAATTTATAAACTTTGGAATACGAACTTGTAAGCATTGACGCTGTTGACGCAAATCTGCCAAACCGGACAAGGATTGCTTGCGCAGTTGTTGACCAGGACCTCGCAGTTGACTCCGGTGTAGCCTGGAGAACACACGCAAGCGTACATGTTGATGCGTGGCTGGGTGCACATCCCTCCATTCTTGCAAGGCTGACTAGCACACTCGTCAACGTCAATTCTGCAAGAGTCGCCTGTGTAACCTGATTGAATGGTCCGTTGTTTGGTTTGGTCGGTTGGTTGGTCAGTTGATTGGTCAGTTGGTTGGACAGTTGGTTGGACAGTTGATTGGATAATTGATATTTTGATTGTTTGTCTAGTTATTTAATCTGTTGAATATTTTATAAGTGAATTAAAAAGTTACAACGTGCAGTGCAGAGACTACTAACCCGGCAGACACGAGCAATTGTATCCGTTGATGAAATCCCAGCAAGTCCCGCCATTGAAACAAGGATTGGATGAACATTCGTTGATGTTGTCGTTGCAGTTTGTCCCACCGTATCCTGGTTTGCAGAAACACGTGTAACCACCTGCTCGCAGTAATATGACGTAACTGTTACGTAGTCATTCAAAAAAATCAATATCCTTTATGTAGCGCTTTTTTCATTACGATAGATGATAAGAACGATATCTTTAAAAATGAAAAATATTTGCTGGCAATGAGAAGGTAACTTAGCCACCACAAAATTGCACCAAACCGATAGGAAAATTTAAAATGAAACAAATAAACACAAGCTGTTAAACTGAAAGAAATAAATAACAGATATTAATATGGGAAACATGCATAGACCTGCCGGCTTATTCGTGCAGACAGACTTATCGGATGGACACGGGTAGGTGAACAAACATTGCCTGATCACAGCCTCGCATCTTTATTGAGTTACACATGGAATATAATTACATGAAGTTTACATCTTCAATCATATGAAGGTTCAACCATGCGAAAATTATATTGTATACGCTACAGACAGTACATTTCGTATTAGATAATCGTTTGAAAAATGTTTAAGTATAAACTTTAAGAAAAAATGTTTAAAATATCAATAATATATTATAACGTTTTAACTTTTTTACTACGTACTAAATAAAACTATCGAAAATAATTGTTAAAAAAATCGGAATTGAAAAAAATTAAGTAATTATTGGAGATGTTGTTGTCTCGTGCAACCGACCTACTTCCCATGTAATCAGAGGCGCAGATGCACGTGTATCCACTTCCAACATTCTGACAGGTCCCTCCGAAGTAACATGGATTGCTGGAGCAGGCATTTGCCAGTGAATCGCAGTTCTTTCCAATGTAACCTTGTTTCGTGTGTATTTTGTGTGTAGGTGTTTTGTGTGTGCGTGTTTGTTTGTGTGTGCGTGTATGTTTGTTTGTGTGCGTGCGTGCGGTGTTCACATATTTTGGTGCATTCACATGCTTGCCCGGGTTCACATTTTTTTATAGCTTGGTGTACCTGTACACGTTAACTGGACACGTACGATGGCATGATCTTTTGCCAAGTAGTAAGAAAAGATTTAGAAAAAAAATTTTCTAAATCTTTAAACTTCAATAAATCAGCTATCAGACAAATTATTTTTGCCACACTCAAAAAATTTACATCGATGAAATTAATGCAAATGAATAAAATATAAAAGCTGAAAGAACCTTGCTGACAAACGCAGTTATAAGAGCCAAAGGTATTCTGGCATGAGATGGCATTCCTGCAAACATTGGTGGCACACTCGTCAACATCTTCCGAGCACGTGACTCCTCTGTAACCTGGTGCGCACGTGCAAGTGAAGAAATTGAAGTTGTTGCTGCAGCTGGCTCCATACTGACACGGATTCGAAGCGCATTCATTCACGTCCTGAGTGGCGATGACGACGAAGATGATGACGAAGATGATGACGAAGATGAAATGATGATGAAAATGGTGACCATAATGTTGGTGATGAAGATTATCTCTCCTCACCTGCATCGTTACCAACCTGGTCACAAAACTGACCGGTCCAACCGGAAACACAAGTGCACGAGTAAGCACCAATGCCATCTACGCACGTAGCACCGTTCATACATCGGTTGGAGAGGCAATCATTTATGTTCTGTTCGCAGAAGATTCCTAAGAGTTTGTTGGTGTTGCGTTATAAATTTTTCTAACTAAAATGTGCAGTTTATTTTATTTTAAGTATTATATTAAATGTAATCGAATCTTAACACTAAATTGTAAATCAACCAAAATAAAAGCGTAAGTAAATTGAAAATATTTTCCTCAAACTGATAAGAAACAGAAGAATAACAAACCAGTGAATCCCAGGGCACACCTACAACTGAACATGTTCAGCAGATTATCACACTGGCCCCCATTCCGGCAGGGATTTGAAGAGCATTCGTTGATGTCTAGTTCGCAGTTGCTTCCAATCCAGCCTGGCTGGCAGTTGCATCTGCATTGAGTACAAATTTGAATTGAATCGTTCAATTCATCAAGAGCTTTCATCAATTTGTAATAAACTTGATAACTTTCAAACAAAACCAACAACAAAATTGACGATTTGAAAACGAACCTGTAAGAATTGATGCCATCAACACAAGACCCAGCATTCTGGCATGGATTGGACAAGCACTCATTGGTGTTGATCTCACAGTTAGTTCCCACGATGCCAGGCAGACAAATGCACGAATACGAGTTCACTCGATCAAAGCACGATCCGCCATTCAGGCACGGATTCGACTGGCATTCGTTAACTTCGATTTCGCAGGTGCTGCCAATGAAGCCACCTGGACAGCTGCAGGTGAACCTTCCTGCCTGGCTCTGACATGTCCCGCCATTCTTACACGGATTGTTCAGGCACTGGTCTGACGAAAGAGTAATGATAATGATGATTATCATTATGATGGAACTATAAATATATCCAATAACAAGGCAGCATTCATCTTACTTACTTATAACCTGTTCACAGTTGACTCCTTGAAAGCCTGCAAGACAGTTGCAAGTGTACTGATTGACACCATTGACACAGGCGGCTCCATTCTGGCAGGGCCTTGAAATACACTGGTCAACCAAAGTTTCGCAGAGAGAGCCAACGTAGCCGATGGGACAGGCGCAAGTGAAGCTGCCTGGAGTGTTCGAGCACGTGCCGGCGTTACGGCATGGACTGTTCGAGCATTCGTTGACGTCTTGACTACATGTGGCACCTTCGATGATGATGATGATGGTGATGATGGCGGTGATGATGATGATGATGATGATGACGATGATAATGATGATGATGGTGGTGGTGGTGGTGGTGGTGGTGATGATGATGATGATGATGATGATGACCATGAAGTGGTGGTAGCTGTGAGTTGCTGTTTGTGTTGAGTGGGTTGTGGTTATATTAAATTATAAAGAGGGATGACTGAAATTAATAAAAAGTCGGTTTAGTTGATGAAAAAAAAGATTTTCTTGTACGTTTAAATAACACTTCTCACTGGAAACAGTTTAATTAACTGAACATCAAACCTAGAACAAAATAATTTTGCAAATCGATACAGTCACACACGCACACACGTCAACACAGTCAAACACATACACTAAAGTACAGACAAGCAGCAACCGTGCAGACATACGCAGACAGACAAACACAGACACACAAACACTCACCTGTCCATCCAGTCAGACATGTACAGGTGAAGAAGCCAACACGATCTGTACACACTCCGCCATTTACACACGGGAAGGAGAGGCATTCATTTATTTCCTGCTCACAAAATGTTCCTACAAATAAAAACAAATGGATGAGTTGAATGAAGGAAAAATTAGATAATAAATTAATAATAAAATGTTACCATTGTTAATTTTGTGTAATAAAGAAAGTAAGAAATCACCTGTATAGCCAGCACTGCAGATGCATGTGAATCTGTTGACATCATTCGAACACCTAGCTCCATTCTTGCATGGCTGAGATGAACACTCATCTAAGAGTTAACAATTATCGGTTAACGTCACTAACAAAAAATTTGCATGAATATTTTAAAATTTATATTTTGATATAAAAAGAAAGAAAGAAGCGTTGTAAATAAATTTTAAAAATACGGTTACATGAAATAACTTAGGAATGAACAGGAATAATATGTACCGATATCGTCAGAACAATAGAGTCCAGTGTAACCGGGGGCACAAGTGCACCTGTACCCGTTGACCGCGTCAGTGCACGTGCCCCCGTTTCGACATGGATTCGACGAGCATTCGTCCACGTTCGTCTCACATCTGCCTCCACTGAATCCGGAGGCACAGTAACATGAGAAGCTGTTGTCAGTTCGAATTTCAAGTTTATTTTTAGTTAGTTTGACATTTATACAAGTTTAATTTTTTATCTTCAAATTTTTGTATGCAAAGTTTACGAAACCGTAAAGAAATGATCAACATTTCCAATGAATAGGACCGACATGGTACAAAACAAATCTACAACTGTTAACAAAATAATTAGAATCAAAATAGTGCCCACTATCCAATGTAGTTGTAGCACGTTCCTCCGTTCATGCACGGCGATGAGTTGCATTCATTGACGTCTACGTCACACAGGGGACCTGCCATCAAATGCAGCATTCATTAAGTATTACTAATTAGACGACCCAGTATGATTGGAGAATAAATAAACTGGCTTAGTTAGCATTACCGAAAAACAGATAAAAAAACAAGCAAGGCACCCGTCCATCCATTCTGACAAGCACACGTGAACGATCCGATGGTGTTGCTACAAATGCCGCCGTTCATACAAGGCCGATAAGTGGAGCATTCGTCAACATCCTGGGCGCATGTTGAGCCGGAGTAGCCGCTGGTACATCTGCACGAGTACCCACCGTACGTATTCAAACACGAACCGCCGTTCTGACATGGGTTGGATGTTACACATTCATCTGGTAGGATTGATTGCGAACACAAATGTCAATGGTTTGTGGTAGTTTAAGGATAAAATTATGTTACTGTTCATTGCAACGTTTTGTTAAAGTTTTGAATTACTGAAAAACTGAATGTGCGATACAAGAAACAAACCGAAGTGAACGTACCAACATCCTGGGAACAGGTAGGTCCAGTGAACGTTGGTAAACAAGTACATGCAAAACCCGTCACTGACTCCAGGCAGGAACCTGAGTTCATGCATGGTGCCGAGTAGCAATAACTTAGATCCGTGCAGTTTTTACCTGGCATAAAATATTGATTTTATTCATTAAAAATAATTTTGAATAAATGTAAAAATCTAGCGTCAAATTTTTGATTTAAAATAAAATTATAAAACATTAAAATTTGTTAAAATAAACTCCAGTTAAAACAATTGTGAACAATCCACCTTTAAATTGCGGTGGACAGTTACAGGTGTATTCCAGAACGAGGTCCATGCACATGCCTCCATTCATGCACGGATTGGGATTGCAGTCGTTGATGTTCAGGCAGTAGAGAGGATTGTTGGACTGTGGATAGTAGCCAGGTGAACATTGGCAGTTGAAGTTGCAGAACTGCGTTGGAGCTGGGCATTGCGATTGACACGTCAGGTTCGGCTGGCAGGAGCCTAGTATTACATCTCTGCGTAGAAGTAAGGTTTAATGCGTGCGTGTGTGTGTATGTATGTGTTTTTGTGTTCGTGTGTGTTCGTGTGTGTGTGTGTGTGTGTGTGCGTTGTGTAGTTTTTTATTTTTAAACGTTCGTACAATCAAGATCTATGAGTTAAAACGGCTCAATGTGAAAATTTATGAAATCCAACATGCAAAGTACATTAGCAAAATAAAATTAACACAATCGTCAATAAACCCACAAATGACCTTGACTCCTTGACCCCTTGCGAGTCATAGGTCAGCAGGGAGGCAGGTTCAGAGGCAATGCTGTAACTAACAAATCGTGGCGCCTCAAAACATCCTACAATCAATTAATATTCAACAAAATATTTTCACGACTTATTCCAATATTAAAACATATCAAAATTATTTATTTTATCTCTTCGTAAGATAATTAAATTTGAAAAATTCAAAATTTAAAAAACTTTCAAGTTGAAAGTTTATAGTTCATTTCCGAACTCAACTACTTCATACAACTTATGCCTATGCAAAGTAGGAGTTGCCTTTGAATTCGATACCGGTCAAAGTGAAACAGCGCTGACGGTCTTTAGAAATTATGACACTTCAACAAATGGGGCCATTCAGTAATAACGTGTTGGTAAGAGTTACTCAAAAATTTAGAAACAAAGAAAATACCTGTAAGTGAGGATAGAGCCTGAGGAGGTAATGATTGGATGGGTGTCTTCAGTCCACCAATCATCAGCGTGTCTGCGTTCAAGTTGTAGCCTGATTCGTCAGTAGGCCCTTCATGTGTGTGTTGTGCGTATGTGTGGTATTGTGTGAGTGTATGTGTGAGTGTGTGTGTGTGTGTGTTTTTGTGTGTTTGTGCAAATGGGGAAAAGATTTTTATCAAAGATTATAAGTTTTAACTATGAAATTTTAACGCGATAATAATTATTTATTGATACCAGCGACGATGACGTCATATATTTGATACAATGACGTCAAAGATGTCAAAAAAAACGAACAATTAAAAAAAACTTTCAAATCCTAACCGAACTTGGTGCTGATGAGAAGGTATCCCTCGTCGTTCGTTAAGTTGGCAACGTTGTCTGCCCTGGTTACTTGGACGTACTTCCATGTGCCGTCGTTAAATCCAGCTAAGCTACTGTAGTTGAAGGCACCTGGATCTGAAGCCTGTTTGTGTGTGTGTGTGTGTGTGCGTGTCTGTGTGCGTGTCTGTGTGTGTGTGCATGTCTGTGAGTGTGTGCGTGTCTGTGTGTGTGCGTGTCTGTGAGTGTGTGCGTGTCTGTGAGTGTGTGCGTGTCTGTGAGTGTGTGCGTGTCTGTGTGTGTGTGCGTGTCTGTCTGCGTGTGCGTGTCTGTGAGTGTGTGCGTGTCTGTGAGTGTGTGCGTGTCTGTGTGTGTGTGCGTGTCTGTGTGTGTGTGTGTATCTTTGTTATTTGTTTGAAGGTTATTGATTTGGTTTGAGTTTGAATGTTTATTTGTTTGAAAAATGAATCTATGTCTGTCTGTGTGTATGTTTGTATGTCGATTGTTTTCATTAAGTTGCTTTGTGTTCGTTTGAGTATTTGCTTGTATGCGAGTGTACTTGTGTGTGTGTGTCTGTGGCTGTGTGTGTGTGTTTATGTGCGTACATCCGTGTGTACACCTGTTTCATCACATGCGTTCGTTCATTACAAAGTTTTACATTTTTTTAGTAATGTAAATCATCATTGGCATTGTTACAATACGTTTGAAAAATGATGACAATAATGTTTATGTTGTTCTACGCAAATGTCATTGACTGAACGAAT